CAGGACCAATGCGCGCGCAAAAGAAAGAAAGAAAGAAAGAAAGACAGAACGAAAGAAAGAAACAAATGGAGGTGCCAGGAACCGATGAAACCAAACCTTATTTGAAAGACTTAGGAAGACCTGCCTGATTTGGCCTAAGGTGGAGGGCAGAGCCCAATCGATCTTGAACAAGCTTTGGTCGCTGCGACCACCTCATGGCAGAGAGCTGCCTACTTAGTTTCAATAGTCCATCGGGTCTTGGCAAAACAAAATTTGGCGTAACCCTCCTACGCTCGCTGTGAGCTGCTCTGTATCCGGGCAGGGGGTACGTTGGAAAAAAACCCGTTCGACAGGTCCACAGGGGGCACTCCTCGGGCTCACCCTGGGCTCTCACTGAGGAGAGACACACTTATGGATATGCGTACTGAGCTGAATGCCACTCGCCACACGCCAACCTAGGTACCCAGGTTCCTGAGAAGTCGTGAAAGGGGCCTGAGCACTTTTAGTTTGAGGCCAAAAAGTCCAACACCATGAAAGGACGACGCGTCGAAATGACGGCGGCCGCTCAAGTCTGCAGAGCGCACTAGCCCTTAAAGGAAGAGTAGAGTCACGGCTTGGTCAAAAGTTCAAACCATCGCAGGTACAAGTCTGTGCGTCCACAGATTCATCCACCCATTTCTCTAGCTTCGTTGGCTAGCGTCGAGAAATGGGCCGCTAGCCGCCCACTCATCATTCAACATTCAAGACAACACATCCGAAGGGATCCCTTTGACTCCAAGGGCTACACACTTATAGAAATGCATACGGAGCTGGATGCCACACACTACCCGGAAACCTAGGTACAAAAGGCCTGAGTAAAACTAAACAAGTGAGTTGGAGGTCATCGCTCTTAGGTTGGAGGCCGTCGAAAGCAGGTTGAGGGGCCATCTCTAGTAGGTTGGTGACAAGAAGCGAAACCGCAAACCGTCAAATTTGGAGGTCCTCGCTCTTAGGTTGGACATCGCTAGTAGGTTGGTGACAAAACACAAGAAACACAAGACACACCAAGACAGCCAAGGTTAGAGGCCAATACTAGTGGTTGGAGGCCAACGCATTCAGGTTGAAAGCCCACGATACGAGTTTGGAAGTACCTGCAAACCGTCAGTAGGTGAGTAGGGAGAAAGGAAGAGAAGCCCCTGTTTATAGTAGGGGTGAGACGAAACGAATCACCGTAAGTGAGTGTGAGTGTGAGTGAGACTGAGAGTGAGAGTGAGAGTGAGAGTGAGTGAATGAGTGAATGAGTGAGTGAGTGAATGAGTGAAGAGTGAAAGAGTGAAAGAGTGAAAGAGTGAGAGTCGGAGAGAGTGAGTGTGAGTGTGAGTGCCAGTGTGCGTGAGAGTGAGAGCGGGTGTGAGTGAGAGTGGGTGTAGATGAGAGTGGGGGTGAGTGAGGGTGAGTGAATGTGAGTGCGAGCGCGAGTGTGAATGTGAAGAGTGAGTGTGAGTGTGAGCGTGTGTGAGTGAGTGAGAGTGAGGGTGAGAACGAGAGTGAGCATCTGAGAGCACAAAGTGCTGCGCCTGCGCCGAAATCTGCACTTCTAGGTTCACAAAGTACTGCGCCTGCCACGAAATCTGCCCTTCGAGGTTCACCAATAAGTGCTGTGCCTGCCACGACGCCTGCACGTCGAGGTTCACCAAATGCTGCGCCTGCCACGAAATCTGCACTTCAAAGTTCACAAGTGCTGCTGCTGCCACGGAATCTGCACATCGAGGGTCACAGAGTGCGCCTGCCACGAAATCTGCAAACGAGCCACATGTCCAAAAGTCACGATTCACTGCACCTGTCACGAAATCAGAGCGGCTCGAAGATCACCACCATGTCTAAAGTACTGCACCTGCCACGCTGGCCCCCAGATTCTGCGAGCCTGCGCAGTCGAAATGCACATCGACGATGTCGAGAGGCATGAATGTACTGTAAATAGCAGCGAATTAGCCGCACACGCCCGTGCGCTTCAGCGATCTAAGCATCAGCTGCTTTACACCTACCATAAGAACCCCTAAGTGTGTCCACACTGTTTGGGGAAATTATCCCGGCAAGAGACCCCAAACAGTGTGTGAGAGGTCTATTAGCAGAAAGTTTAAAGATCTAGACGCATTGGGATCCAGAGAGGTGATGGTGGTGATGAAGGTGGGGATCGTGGTGACGGTGGCGGTGGTGGTGAGTGAGTGGAAAAAAGCACCAGAAGAAAGAAAGCACCGACAAAAAAATATCACCGCAGAATCGCCCGCGTTCCAAATTGAGACCAATTGCGCGTTCCACACACACAACTTGCGCTTCAATCCGCACGCACCTCTAGGTCCTAGAGGTCAAACTAGACACCAGACCTGTAACAAAACATGCATCGAAAACCGCAGAATCACCCGGTATATCCCCAGGTTAACCTCAACGCGAATTATTGGACCACGGCAAATGGAGATCGTAAATTCCTAAGTCATGAATCAAGACTGATGGTATCCAGGGATTTATGAGTACGACTGCACTTCTCAACTCTCTGGTAGAGGTTATGACGCTTAACAAAAGGAATATCTGCTGGCAACTGATGTCCATACAATGCACAAGAAAGATTCGGGGTAAATGGAAGTCGAAAATTGAGTGGATACGGCTGCCCTGGTGTAGTTGCATACTCACGCAATAACTGGATTGCTAGCTCGCGCATGCTCGCGCTGTGGCAGCTTCGGACGCGATGCGATGCCCCCTATCAAGCTACGATGAAAACCCAGGCGAACCATTGTTGACGCTCCCGTTTTTGCGTATCTAGGATACAACTTCGTCCTGGCTGTACTTTCAAGATACTGGACTACGTTTCGAAAGTTATTCGCTTGATGCCATAAACTTCTCACTTCTGGTTTTTGCAGGGCTACTTCTGGGGAAGACAAATCAAATGGATGTGCTGGTTGATTGTCATGAACTTTTAGCCAGATTGGCATGCATCGCCCTGCAAAAAACGAAAAATGTATGACAAGTTCATACCATGTAATCCCATAATCCGTTTTCAAAGTTGGCAAAATCTGGGTGACGCCACCGCAATTCATGAAAGAATTGCCACACGCACTTAGCAATCTGTGATCCGGCGGGACACGCTTGTGCTACCACTTCTGGAAGTTCTTCTTTTCTTTCTCAATGTTAAGTGTAGATTGTAGGCTATTGAGTGTACATAAATAGCGATAGACACGTAAAAGATCTTCCATCTGTCGAGCACTATGTAGCGAAATGGTATCTGCTGCTTCTTGGAAGGTCGGAAGGTCTTGCCGATTGATGATTTTGGCTGTCTCATCGGCTAAAGTGTTCCCCATGATGGTATATACGTCTGGCACATTTCGAGCATCTGTAGAATCCCGGTGAGACTTAACTTTATGAATCTGAAAGAACCTGGCATCCCCGCTAAACAAAGGCGTTGGACCAAGTCATAGTGGTGAGGATTAAATTGATACTGGCTCACGGAACGAACAAGTTTTTTCGACAAAGCTGGAATCTGCATAAATGTCTACAAGTGGGCGAGGTACTTGTTGCGAGTAAAATCAGAAACCCAGACTACCGATTCAAGTTCCCCTCTGTTAATAGTCTGATTGCCCTTCACATGAGAGACCTGCAAAATTTCGAAGTCATCCAGTGATGGATCAGTATTATTGGAACGAACTTTGCGAACGTCCGCCCACGCCGCTTTACAACAGGTCTATCGCGTGTCCCATCTGTGAAAATCTCAATAGTTTCATGTCGGTGTGTATAGAGGATCCAGAAAGGGTCCGGCACGGGATAGCTTCAGACGGTTACAAATTACCTGGTGTGGATGTTGAGTCGTAAGGGGCAGCCAGGCTAGATGAGGATGAGATGTAAAGATGTTTACAGCTTGAGTGTGATCCTTCCGCACGTGTTCGAACGGCGCGCAGCACAGAAGTCTATGCAAATGCGTCCAAAACGAGAACGTTTCCCAAGCTCCCAAAGTTAAAGGAAGGAAAAAAGGATCCAAACGAGCTCGGTCACACAGGTCTTACCTAAAAAAGAAGAAACGAAGGGAAAGCCCCAGACTCAAGACCTAGCACAAATGCACAGGAGTGGGCTCAAGGACCATGATTTGACGGAGATGGCCGCGGCCAAACACTAGGATCGAACCGTGAAAGGAACACATTGGTGCATGTCATCACAGCAAAGCTCAGACTGAAGTCATAACAGCGTCACGGCACAATCTCTCAAGACATACAGTACCTGTCACCTACCTGACCCTTCGAGTTCGCCCTGATTAATCTGCGCGCAATGCCGACTGAATGCAGTTCTAAGACTATATAATGAGTAAGAATAGTGTGCAGCCTGGGTGTGTAACAAACATCACGCCCTCATGGCAATTGCCTGCAATTTTGCCAAGCTGCGACAGTAGATTCCTGCATTCAAGGCTAGAAAGAACGAAGACAAACAAAGGACGTCTTTGAAACCTACCCCAACTCTGGTGAACACCCGAAACAAGGGAGGTGCAAGTTAATGAACAACCTTCTGATCCTGCCTGTCCCGAATGCACCACGCGTCTTCCTCTGTCGGGAAGACCGATCTGGGAACGATGTTCCTAGCCGCCGGAAATACTGTCAGTCACTGGGGCATGTGTTTGTTCCCGGATTTGCGGCATAAGCATAATGTAAAATAGTTGTAAAAAAGAGAACAGAAAAAGGAAAGTAAGGCCCCTGTAATGGTGCCTTACCTTCCTCTATTATCTCTTCTTTCTTCATTCGCTTTCTTTAGGAAGGCTCCACTTGTTGAGCACTGCCTGCCTCCGGTGTGAATGGCGACATAGTTGCGAAGCAAGTGACTGTAGCTAGGTTGAGCCCCATAAATGTCAGCACAAGGTTGCTAAGGGTGCGTGTGCGCTGCAAACAAGCAAGTCGAAGCTCGTGTCATACTGTGAGACTGTGTTAATAAACATGTTTGTGTTGCTTTTCATCATCACGTTGCGGGCTAGGTCAGACCCAATTTGATTATATATATATAGTCCTTGCCTTTCTCCGTTCTGTGGGTGGCATCGCATGCCGTCGGAATCCAAACGGCCTCAATTGAGTTGGCACAAGCGTTGAACAATGTGCTGGCAGCTGATTCCAGACTCCAATCGGTCAAGCTTATCATATCTACTTGATGCTCAGATCCTTGCCGACTACCGCCAGGAGAGCTAGGATCCCGAGTAGGAGTTCCCGACAAAAAAGGTGTTCTGCTCCCAACACCTCCACCGGCTGCGCAACAGCAATCAGGTTCAGGACAGTTTGTGCTAAAGCCTGGCTGATGCCTTACGATCCCAGTTCTGCTGCTCTAACTGTTCCGCTCAGACCTGGGCTTGCTCCATGGCCTTGGTTTTCTGCGAGGAGTGGCCTGACGAATGGGTTCAATAGAGGTGATCTGGGCGACTGGGATGGCACAGTGCTCTGGGCCAGGCTGTCTGGCGGATGGGGAACCTGCAGCACTTCTGCACCACACAACGGTAGCACCAACATGAACAGCAGGCTACGCGGCTACGCCGGCTGCGCTTGCCAAAGTTGGTGGCTAAGTTTCTGGGCTGGAAAGGGATGTCGGCTGGCTTGCCGCCCCAGTCACCTTATGACTCCGGGGTGCGTTGCAATGAAAGGAAGACAAGCAGCACACTCCAACCCCACAGCGACATAGATACTGTACAGCAACGCCGGGTGTTTGACGGTGGTCTTGGCTTGCTCGCGGGGGTCGTCACTCGACACAAGATTGATGTGATGGACCTTTCGGGCATGCAAAGTGGAGAGACAAAACGAAGGAGATACCGCCAAGTAGTTAAGTATGTCTACATGTAACGTATATACTGTAGCTGTTTTGCATGACGTTTCTTCTTGTAAACCATGCTCGGTACTCGGTACCATGCCTCTTTCTCATGCGTCCTCATTGGTATGCTCGGCATCACCTTGCCCCAGCCCCGAACCGGCATGGGCATCATCCATTGTGCATCACGGTCTTGACTTGAATGTTAAGTGTTGACTTTTCTGTTTTCCCGGCAACTCTTGTCAAAAACATTGCTTCGCACTTCCTGGGTCGCAAATCTATTGGCATTTACAACGCCAGCAGTTTGGATGCCCAGCATGCGGTATTCCCACCGATGGTGCGGTTGAAGAGACTTTGTTACTGCTTGTTGAGGAGTACTTCTGGCCGATCCTTGTAAAAGAGTTTTCCTGATGTTCAATCAATGTCTGATGGGCAAAAGAGTGAGCAGTGAGGAAGTTTTGGAATGGAATCATTCGAACGTTCCCTTGGACTCATTCAAGCCCCTTGCGGGCCCCATGCGACAAAAACACAAATTATGATAATTAGGATGAGGGCGGGGGCGGTGTCCGAATCAATGCACCGGGTGCCAAGAATGTGGCTGATGAAACTCCACAGAAAATTGTTTCCACTGGTTGTTAAAACAGTTTGTGCTCTTTGCGTGGGGGCCCTCCTTCAAAGCTCACTTCTGTGCAAGAGCCAACAACCAAAATTGTCTGAGTTTATATTGAAATGGCTGCGTGCAGACACGGTCCTCCGTTCTCTCCCTCTTGTTGTTTTTCCTTTCTTTCCGTGTGGTTCCCGGGAGCGTTGCGGAGGGCTCTTCTGTAGAAATATTTTGCGTAACACATCTGCATCAATACATTTGGGACTTATACAGCTGCATTTGTATAAATGCTACAAGTACATCTCAAGCTTGCACGCGTGGTCTCTAGACCTGCTGCTGCAGAGGTGGGACTACATTTGCGACTTATATAGCTGCAGTTGTATGTATACTGTATGCTACAATAGGTATGCCACAGCCTTGCAGGCATGATCGTGTAGAGCTGTTGCTATGCCACGCTAGCATTGTTTTGGTGCCGGGATCTTGCTTTGGTGGCTTGCTTTGGTGCTGGGATCTTGTTTGGGTGGATTGTTTTGGCTGGGATCTTGCTTGAATAACTGGATAACTCCTGGGATCTTGCTGAAGTAGAATCATATGCAAAGTCAAGTACAACTTTCGCCGGGCTTTGCTTAAAGTAACATCATATGCAAAGTCACGTGTGACTTGCTTCGCAAGACAAACTCAAGGTATCCCCTGAAGCCTGAAGGGCTACCTTTCGTGACATACGCAAAAGTAAACATATGTTAACATAGAGAAAACCCATCAAACTCATATGAGGGAAGGTCTTTACTCCTTATTCTTCTTCAACAAAAAATGATAAAAAATGGACGTCGTCGGTTTTGAGGTGGACCTTATCGTTTTACAGTGTTTTGAGTTCGTCGCATACTTATGATCATATACAGCGCTGGGGTTATCGGTTTTGAGGTGGACCTCATCGCTTTGCAGGGTTTGCGCACAAACTTACCCCTCTTTACTAAAGTGGTCTTCGCATGTCTTCGCATGTTTTGACCGTAGCCGTAGCTCATATGATTGTTCGCGCGTGCGTGACGCATCTCGGCTGTTTATCTCTTCTTTCTCAAGTGGGGGCCTGGCCGGACAGGGCTTGCGAAATGCGACCCTCTGCAGAGATCGTGCGCGTAGATTGCTCAAACGCGATGCGAAATGCGAATTCCGGCTGCGCTGGATGAACATTCTGCGGAGATTGCGCGCGTCCCTAAAATGTGAGGCGAAATTCGATGAATTCTGGCCTGGCCGGATGAACCCTTTGAGGAGATCGTGCGCGTCGAGCGCACAAACGTGAGGCGGAAATTCAACTTTGCCTTGGGCGGATGAACCCTCGCGCGCGTCAAGCGCTCAAACGTAAGGCAAAATGCAAACTTTTTCGCGAGCGCGGTGAACCCGTGCGCGTCGAGGGCTCAAATTTGGTCGACGAAGCGTGAAACTGTCAAAAACGAAGGCGGAGGTTGCCAGAGTGTGCAAAGCAAATCGCCTAAAACAAAGGTGGGGATCGCGAAAGTGTGTAACATTGTGTAACTGCGCAGAAAACAAAGGGAAGGTGCGTTTGCGTGAGCCCGTACCAGTGGGAGAGGAGAAAACATGCTGGTGTAAATTCGGCGTGTTGCTGGGGAGGCGGATGATTGGCGGCATGATGCTCAATGTTACATTGTTGTATCTTGTCCTGTTGCACACTGTGTGGACAATTCCGTCTGTGATGTTGCTGCTGCCAGGCAGTTTTGCAGGGTCCAAGGTGGAAAGTGTGTTTGCGTGAGCCCGTGCCATTGGGGGAAGCAAAACGTGCTGGCACAACTTTGGCGTGTCGCTGGGCAGCGGGAGCAATGACGGTGTCCACGTCTCATCTAATCTTACTACATCCGTAGCAACAGCTCCAGAAACGTGCGAGCTGCACGTATACTTGTAGCATCTTGTAGCATACATGAAAAGGCAGCTATGACACTCTGAAATGTATTGTATACACATCTCTTACAACGCACACCCTCTTCTACATGACGTTTCTTTCCCCGCTCCTGGGCCATCCGTCGTCTAGCGTTTTTTTTGGCACACCAAAAAAAAGAAGCAGCTGACCCACCTGATGAAGTAGAGAAGATTGACTTCATAGACTTGCAAAAAACGAAACGTCAGGACTATGCAGAGACTTGTCCTGTTTCCAAAGATCAGCCCATTTTGTCTCGATTGCACCACGAGCACTGACAGGCTCATCAAGCCAACATCATGATCGTTAATAAATGCACGGCGCGTACTTGGAGGCCGTGGATGAGAATGGAACCTTTTTGACCGAAAACTAACTAGGCACACAAGACGTGGAAGCTGCGCAGGACCCGTATAAAGATTGTCAACAAGACCAAGGCTCTATACGACAAACCAGTTCTTCAACACAATCGACAAAAACATTCATTCCCGGCGCAACACTAGGCGGACAGGCGGGCCGGTTGACTCCTACGGCACTGGAGAAGAGTGGAGAGAATGTCACCAGGATTGAGGGACACCGATGTCGTCGATGACTGAAGCCCTTCGCAACCTGGAGTTGCCGCCAGACGGAAAAGACCACAGTACACTCTGGTATTCATCAAGGATGCCCTGAGACACCATGTCAACTTTTGTCATTGCAACTTGCAGTACCTCTGGGCAGCTAGTCATCAATCTTATGACACGTCAAACGTGAACGCGTTAAGCTTGGTGTATGACTCAAGTGCTGCTTCAAGCAAACGCTGGCCTGTAGTAGAACAGATTAGTCAGTTATGTCACATACTTTGGGCAAACATCGGCCTACTACAGTAAATAGTATATGACTGAACAAGGTTATCTCTCTATATATTTTTATATATATACACACACACATATATATATATACAGTATACCTTTGCTGAAGGTAAGCCACTGCAATCTGTGGGAGAGACTCTGAATGTTTTGAGACCCTGTATCTTTTCCTATATAATAGAAGGTTGACCGAAGTTTATCTGGTACAATATCTGGAGAAATGCAATTTGGTTGCCAACAGGCCGGGGTCCCAAACCTGAGAAGCTGCAAAACGAAAGCCAGCGTTTTTACTTTCGAGTGTGCTTTCTCAGGCCACCCCCCCGAACCCCCCTTCTTACTCAGCTGGCGCAGGTATAGATACCCAGGGTAACTACAATTCATTTACCAGGTATAGTACTTCAAGTTCCCTTTCCGTCAACCGCTCGATAACCTTTACACACGCATGTGGGTTGCTTTGAAGTCTCATTCTTGCATTGAACTTATATAGGTGTGTAAGAGGCATAGCAACATAGCATTGATACGGACCCAGGGTAGCTACAATTCTGTCGCCAGGTATCCCACTTCAATTTCCCTACCCTGGGTCCGCGCGCGCGCGCCTTGCTGGCTCCCGGCTGCCCGTGATTTAGGCGCGCGCGCGCGCGCGGACCCTGGCCAGCTACAAGGCAGTTGCCAGGTATGCCCAGGGTAGCTACAATTCAGCTGCCAATTATAGCACTGCAACCAACCGAAGACAATTGCATTTCTTAGAAGCATCCAAAAAAAAAACACCTCCAAAACCTTGCTTCCGTGCACCCCTACACACCACCTACTTTCGAGTGTGCTTTCTCAGGCCACCCCCCCGAACCCCCCTTCTTACTCCTTGCCAGGTATAGATACCCAGGGTAGCTACAATGCAGTTGCAAGGGTATAGTACTTCCAGTTCCCTTTCCGTCAACCGCTCGATAACCCTTTACACATGCACAGCAAACCACAGCTTTGAAGTCTCATTCGTGCTTTGAACTTATATAGGTGTGTAAGAGGTATAGCAACATAGCATTTATGCGTACCCAGGGTAGCTACAATGTGCCGTTGATGGAAAGGGAACTTGAAGTACTATACCTGGTAACTGCACTGTAGCAATGTGGGTGTCTATACCTGGCAAGGTGCCAACTACACCGATGCAAATTGCATTTCTTGCGTCACCACCCCTCAAAAATCACCTCCAACACAACCTCAAAAAACCTTCCATCCGTCCACCCTCCTCCCCCAGCATGCGCCGAGTTTACGTGTACCTTTTGCGGGCCACCCCCCAACTACTCACTTCGTTCGCCAAGCACAACTCAGCTGGCGCCTTCTACGAAGGCGGGCTTTCGTAACAGAGCAGTTTAAGGGTCGAGAGAAGGATCTCGAGGATGCCAAGGTCACACCGCCAAAAGGTTTTCACCCTTGGCCCAGAGCGAAGTGTCAGACCACACCGCTTCACAATCACTCTTTCAGCAACAAGTTGAGCAACAAGGGTTGGTCGAAAACCTGCGTGGGCGCCAGAAACTATGAAGGACTGCTGGAAGAGTTGGAATCCAAAAAAATCTGACAGGACAGAAACATCAGAGAACAAATGCAAACATGGGCCTTGAGCGAGAAGTTTCATCCGCTAAGTGCACTAGTTCAAAATGTTTGTTAGACCCAGGCACTTCCTACATGTCGCGCCAAGAACATTCTCAACAAAGTCCACTTGCATGTTGCAAGCACAGGCACCATCGGCAAACAAAGCTTCAAGCTGAGACCCCCGCAATGTGCAAAGCTGATGGTATGAGTATGAGCCTACCGCTGCCAATCTAAGGATCAGGCACCAGCTGTGACTGCCTGTGCAGCTGCACTGGCCGCTGACTGAGCCTCTGCAGTTGACTTTCGCTTGGCCCTAATTCTGAAAGTTGGCAACTGCCTGGCACCCCATCACCTTGAGGCTATAGATGTCAATGGACTTGAGATGCTGCCTCGGGCACAACTACTATTACTATATATTCATGTGACAACACGTGGGCCATACCACCCAGGGAAGATAACGAAGACGTTCTTTTTGAACCGCTGCTGGATGCTGATGTCTTCATTTTATCAGCTATGCACCTCCTCTGCCAAATCTTTCTTTGGTGAGGGTGGGTGGGAAAACAAAGCCATTTGACCTTGCAGGGATAGGGACTTGAGCCAAAATGGCATCAAGCCACTGTCCCCACCCAGGCCCTACTCAGGGTTGTCACCCAGAAAATTCCATTCTTCCATTTTCTTCTCAGACAACACGTGGGCCATACCACCCAGGGAAGATAACGAAGACGTTCTTTTTGAACCGCTGCTGGATGCGGATGTCTTCATTTTATCAGCTATGCACCTCCTCTGCCAAATCTTTCTTCCGTGCTCTGCACAGAAGAGGTGCATTTCAGGCAGTTCACCTTCGTCACGTCCATCCCGAAAGTGAACACCGAAGCCAACCACACTTCGTATGCCAAGATGTGACGGGTGAGGCCACCGGCTGCTTCTTGTTCTCATGTACTGTTCCACTCTTCGAGAGGATGACTGGTGGTAGTAGGCCTTGATGATTGTTGGAGATCTCCTCCCACTTCAAAATCGAGGCATCGAGCTGATCTTGTTTGTCCTTCAACCTGTCCAGCTCTTTCTTCAACCTCTTCTCCGTTTCTTTGCCTTGTTCTTCGCCCTTCGTTACCACCAACTTCTCCACGACCCGTTCATTTCCTCCTCTTCCCGGGTTCAAACCTGCTAGGTTGACCGCCTTGTTCATCACCGGCGTGGTTTCCAGGGCCTCTTCCGCATACTGTAGGATCACGTCGCTCTTCCATCTTCCCAGAAAAGCCACCTGGGGCACGCGCCAACCCCGTCTGATGTATTGCAAGGCCCCTGACCTCCTGGCGGAATGCCCTGAGATGCCCTGCCCAAACAAGTTCCTCCAAGCTCCTATGATCTGGTTCTTTTCTATTGCACCTTCGCTGTCTCCATGTACTAAATGATCCTCCTCGATCGGGACGTTGTCCAAGGCTGCTTTCGAAATCGCCAAAGGGCAGGGTTCTGACCAGTCGCACTCCTCCGGGCAACAGGACTGCAGAGTCCTCTTCAGTCCTTTGGCTTCCTGATCACACTTCGTGAGCCTCAGGGTCAAAGCCACCGTCTTCTCCTTCTCGTTGATCACGATGTCCTCCTTGTGGACTGCCGCCAGTCCCACCTCCCGCAGCATCCAGACGGTCGCAAACCCAAACATGAGGGCTGGTCGGTGTACTGAGCCCCTCTGCTCTTCGTTCGTCTCGATCTTGCAGGCTTTCATCCACTCAACTTCCTCCACTTCAGCCGCCTTCTTCACCGGCCCCCTTGCCCTCTTCAATGCTCGTGCCACTTGTCCGAATGTCTTTTGTAGTCTGTGCGACCACGTCTTGCCCGCTTCGATCAACATCTGCTTGTACTCCGACAAGTAGGTGACCCCTGCTTTATAGTCCGCTTTCTTGAGTACTGCGCCCACTCTTTCCAGTGTCTCCTCCGACCATTGTTCTGCTGTCCCCTTCGTGCCCAGGTTCAGCAAAATCTTGTTGACCGTTTTGCGCACGGACGCCTTTGCCCTTCTCGAGGAGTTCGCATAGTAACCCTCCTTGAAGTCCTGCAGGTTCTTGTCTCGTTGCGGTCGGTTCAACCTGAAGATGCGAGCCGTCTGTATTGCCTTCTTCCACTTCTCATTCTTCTTCACCCCTTTTGTTCGCTCCGGTTCTTTCGGCATGTCCTTCCTCCGTCTCTTCTTCTTCATCCCTGAGCCTTTACCTTCGTCGCGTCCATCACGTTCGCGATGTAGCCCCCATCTCCCCTGAGAGCCACTCGTCTTCAGTCTCTCCTCCCCTTCCGGTTTCTCCTTCGAAGTCCTCCTTCTCTTCACCAAATGGAGCAATCCCCCGCTTGATTCACTCCCCCTTGACAGCACTTCCATTGGAGGCACCGGTGGAAAGCTGAAATCGAACTTTTCTTCTCCCCATTCTTCGCTCAGTCCAAAGCCTTCTGCGTCACGATCTTCGCCCGGGCGCACCTCCCTTTTGTCCGCTCCAAGTCTCACAGCTGCCAGCTGTCCTTTGTGTTGAGCCTCCTGGTTACCAACCACTGCATGTCCCTCGACTCCCTCACGGACTCCCTCCATGGTGAGTAGTTCGACCTCGGAGAATTCGACCTGTTGGTTGAAGTCCCTTCCAGTGCCGTAGTTCTCGTGGAAGGTGTGTCCAGCAAGTTCGGAGTTGAAGGCTCTTCTGTCTGGCCATGCTGTTCAGTAGGTTCCTCCATGGCTCGGGTTGGGGTTCTTCTGGCCTGGTTGACCTTCGACGTATCCCTGCTGCCGGCCCCCAGTCCAGGTACGTGTCGAGATAGTCCCGTGGCTGGTCCATGTCCCAGGGTTCTTCCCACTCCTCGTCTTCGGAGTCAGGGTATCGTTGATGTTGTTCTCGGTTGACTTCTCCGCCCTCCACCACGTCCATGGGTAACCCCGCGGAGTGTGGAGGTCTTCCACCATGCTATGAACTTCTTGCAGCCAAGCCAGGCTGCCACGACGTGCGCGAAGATGCCGATCACGATGAGGTAGAAAGCCCAATAGGCCAGCCATGTTGCAGGCTGCCCACCGAGTTCCTGTGGGCGTAGGACGATCGCGTCCGCTGGAGCTAACTCCATCCTTGGGCCCTCACCTCGTGCATCGACGCACAACTCACGAATCGGCTCGATCGACGACGTCGCACACCAACCCGGACCTTCAGCCTTACCCTTCAAACTCTTCCGCCGCCTCCTATGTCCTTTTTCAAACGATTCCTTCAGAATCTGGCCATCGAGTTAACGACAGGCCCAGGCCGCCACTAAGGCTTCGCCGTCCTGCCAGTCGGCAGTGTCGGGGCCTGGCGGGTTCAGGCGGTACCACGCTGCTGATCTTTCCTGGGGCGTCTCGATTGAAATGCCCTCTAAGGCGACCGGCAAGGTGGTGGTTGCCCAAGTGTTTGGTCTGCTCAGGAAGTCAGCTTCCTTGTTGGCGACCCCGGGGAGATGCGTCGGAAGGAGGTCCGACAAGCCCAGCGCTTCACACACCACCGCCAGCTCCGCCCCCAAGAAATTCAGAGTGGCGTTACTGTTTGAAAATTTCTGAGTGAGTGCCAGCGCTGTCACGGAGTCTGATTGTACCCCGATTGCCACATTCACTGCGGCCAGGAGCTTACCCCAGTGTTTGAGGGCCACCAAGATCGCCAGCGTCTCTGCAATGCCCTGCGAGCTTGATTCGCCCAATTGGAAGCCCAGCAACTTAGCATCCATCTCGTTGATGGGCGATGCCAATGCTTTTGTGACTCTTCCATTCACCAGAAGAACAGCTCCGATGCCCAGGGGTGAAGCGTCTGTCATCACGCTGGCCTCCGCTTTGCCGCTCTTGTACAGTGCGTACTTGCGGATCGGTCTTTCCTTCGCCGCCTTCAAATAGGACAGGAGCCAAGTTCGTGCCTTCTCCACACGCTTCACCGGGATGAGATGGTCCTTGGGACGGCTATCTTTCCTTTGAGACCTTCGAGATGCTTCCGCCCCTGACTGAACATCATCCTCGTGGCTGTACAAGGTCGCATACAACGACGCGGTGACCCACCTGGCTCGAGGCAGCACGCCCGCCAGCCAAGCCACCCTGCCAGCTCCCTTTCTTAGCTCTGCCGTCCCAATCATTCCTTTCTTGTCCCAAGCTTCCAGCTGTTTTTGGAGTTCATCCATGAACTTTTCCGGGAGCGTGACCAGCAAATGATCGTAGTCGGGTGCCACTAGCTTGAAGTGGATTCCTATCCAGGTCACAGCCGCTGATCGTTCGCCCTTGCCCAGAGACAAACGCAGTCCGAGCGCTGCCATCGTGTGGATGATGCACGACAAGGTGTGGTTCCTCTCATGCAGCTTGCCCATTGCCCCCCAACACCCACAAGGAATCGTCCAGATATACTTGATGCGTTCCCCGTTCCGCTGGTATCACCGATTGCAGCAGTCGGGCTACGCAAGCTGCCGCCCGGCTCCAGGTCAGCGGTGCAGTCTTGAAGCCGAAGAGGAGAGCTATGAACAGCAACCAATGTTCGTCGTCCAGAGCTGGCGCTAGACAGTGGCCCTTCTCCTCCTCCGCCACTGCCAAATGCATGTAGGCATCGGACACGTCTATCATCACCAGCTCCAGGGTCTTATCCTGCGGCCTCTCCAACTCGGCTTTCGACGCATGCATCCTCCGAACCATCGTTATGGCGTCCATGGGTCTGGGCAAGATCAAGCGCTCGGGGAGTACTGCTTTCCTGTTACCTCCCGACCTCCTCAAGTCTATTATGATCCTTCGCTTCTTCGCTCCTCCCTCCTTCGTCTTGACGATGAGCCCCAGCTTGGAGATTGTCGTCCCTTTGAGGCCCGCCCTTTCGACTTCTCCTTTTCTGGCCTTGACGGCATAACCTCTGTCGATCAGCCTGTCAATTTCTATCTTGGCATCTTCCTCCTGCTCCCTCACTGAAACATAGTTGCCAATGTCCTCCCTCAAGCCTTGTGCAGCTTGCCAATCTTCTGGGCGTTGAACTTCCTCCTTCAAAGCCGGTGGGAAGATGTTGCAAGTCTTGATGGGGACGTTTATGCCAAGGGGCACTCCCTCTTTGATCCACCGGTGCACTTCCGTCTCCGGGTCCCCTCCTCTTCGGCACCATGCTTCTATCAGGTTTCCGTCCATCGGAGATTGGTAGGACCATTTGCCCGTCAGTTTGATTGCTGGTGCACCTTTGGCTCCTGTCAGCTTCCGTAGCTCCTCTTTCCATCTTTCCACCAAATGTACTTCTAACTTGCAATCCTCCGACCCATATTGTTCGCCCACCTTCAACACTTTCGGGTTGTTCACGCAGTGCCTCTCCCAAGCTCCCCAGATGCGGCGCCCCAAGTTCTGCAGCGTCGGAAGCCCTTCCCACTTCCATCGGGTTCTTCA